GTCGCCCCAATGGCCGCGAATACACTTGTGATAACGCCTATCGCGTACACAAGGTATGTTAGTCACTTTGTTCTCATGTCACCCGACTACATAGTGTCAATAAACTTCACATCAACAGTGAACGCAGTGTCATATGTTACTCAGATCAATCCACCTACGTTCCTCGCTATTGTAAATGGCTCCCGAGCGCACTCCACTATTTCGCCAATTCACGATAGTCATTTATCCAATTCAACATTAGGTCTAAAATATGTCTGAAGTAACATAAAAATGAAGTGAACATTTCTGTCGTGCTTTGATAGACGTAGCATAACGACCACGACGGTCGCAAGTGACCGCCGGGGCTGTGAACGGCACGGCAATGACCGGCCGGCGGGCGGCTACGCCAGCGCCATCTATGGAGAGAATCGGGTAACTAACGCAAACCTTCCGAGCCTTATGCTTTCCTGCGAGGCCGGTGAAGCAGGCGGCGTGCCGATTTCGACGCCGCTGTATGCCGAATCGACTGGTACATGCATTTAGCGATACATTGTTAATATTTTTTCATTACATTCATCATATTATTCAAAAACATGCAAAAATTGAGAAAACCGGAAATAATCAAAGAGCCGGGGCGGTCAAAAAAAATTCGAATTTTATATTTTTTCCGCCGGATTCGTGATCAGCACCCCCAAATACGTTAGATTAGACCTGGGGAGCAAAACTTTTCGAAACTTTTTGCAAAACCGGTCACCCTATAATGTGACGGGTATTCGTAATACGTGTCAACCGCCTCGGACAGCTTCGTAACATGTTACGAAGGCACCAAAACTACTTCGTAAATGTTCAAATGGTTGCTAAATTCGAATTCAGCTCCAAAAACTAGCCTAGAAACATGTAAAACTCGAAAAAGTGAACCGAGGTCACCCGAGGTCACCAAAGGTCAATGACCTGACCTGACCTTCAGGTGACCTTGACACCCACCCTAATGCATGGGAGCAACATCAAATCACATGTTTGAACTTTGAAACCACGAAAAGCTTGCAAACGCGCGGCTAATGCGAGCCGACATGCGCCGAACCGCGATTTCGGCCAAACATGGTCACAGAAAAGAGGTCACAGGTCAAAGGTCATTGGGGTCAGGGTCATGAAATTTTCAGGGTAGGTGTAAAATTGATCAATGCGAGGGTACTGCAAGTTTCGTCGCGATCGGCTGCTTTTTACGCGAGTTATTCGCGAAAACCCTTAGGGGGGGGGGTTGCATCAACCCCCCCCCCCTGAGCCGGCGAGGGTTAAGGTCAGGTCAATTTTGCGACCTCCCCATTATAAGTCAATGGGAGAAAATTGAAATGCGCCTACTTTGGACGAAAGACATTATAAACACTCCCAAACACTGAATTACAAGTGGTTTAGACACACTGAACATGAAAATGGTGTCCGTGACCCCTGTTTATGCCCTGAGGTCATCTTAGGTCACGAATGGTATCTAACAGTTTTTCGCAAATAACTTTTGATAGAGGCATGCTAGAGCGATGAAAACGCCTTAGATGTGTTCAGCTCGACGATACGGATCGACTGATATGCAGCATGACCCTTTCCGGTCAGGTCTGACCTGAGGTCAACCTTGACCTGAGGTCAAATTTTCAAGTTGACCTTTCAAGGTCAATTTATTGTTCATTCGATGCGTCTTGACGAGAGGAACACGATGCCGGTAAGAGTGAGCTCGTACAAGGCTTGGGTCAAAAGTTATTGCAGAAAAACTGTTTCCGAAAAAATCGGCTATTTTTGCAGTTTTTGCCCCCTGCAGTCAAAACCGTTGACGTTAGGTTAAATCTGAGAGAAGCATTCAGAAAGGGCGTTAATAGGGCTATCGAATGCGCTTTTCCGCGGCGCTGTAGCTCTATTGGTTCCCGAGTTATGCGTTGGCTTCTTGGAAATTGTCGACATTCGACCTGGAAATCGGCGAAATTTTGCCTTCAATGACCTCTGGTGACCTGACCTTTGACCTGACCAAAAAATTGACCGAAGTGATTTCGTCATTATTTTTGACGCTCTTTCGAACGCCGCCTTCCGCGTATCGCTACGTGGCCTAGGAGCCGAGTTAGAAGGGGGGGGGGTGTTCAAACACCCCCCCCCCCCCAGCAGGGCGTGGAAATCCAGGACCCCCAGCCGGGCGCGGGTTAACCCTCGCCGGGCCTATTGGTTTTCTACATACGCGCCGGCCGAGGGGGTGGGGGGGGGCGGGTACGACCCCCCCCCCTGTGTTCGCCTTGCTCAGGCGCGTCGAATGATATACTTTTTGTTCGGGTTAGGTCAACTTAGGGTGTTTACCTCAGGTCAAGGTCAGGTCAGCACCCCCAGGTCACGAAGCTGGTCGAAAGAGGTCATGTCGCATATCATTCTATTCGGCAGGTCTTCCTGAGTCCATTGGTGACTTTTCCGACTCGCTAGCTCAATTTGATCAAGAGTTTTTGACGAAAAAATAATGTGACCTTTTGACGTCATAAATGACGTCCCGCAAGATCAACATTGCAAAAGTGACACATCTAACCTTGCAAGGAGTGCATTAAATCACTATTCTGTGTGCTTGAGATAGTTGGAGATCGTTCCCGGCGCCAGAATAGCAGTTTTCATTTTTCCCCATTGCATTGACTTATAATGGTGAGGTCACGAAAATGACCTGACCTCATATGACCTGTTGGAAAAATCCGAGATATGCAAATTGTGATACTCATAATGGATACTAGATCCTGCAAGTTTCATTTCCCTGTGACATCTCCTCTGGCAGTGAATGCGTTGCGAAGTCGCGACATCTGAAGACCGTGCAGAGATTCACTTATGACGTCATAGGTCAGTGACCTGACCTGACCCAAAAATGCGGTTGGTGTCAAAAGATCCGGCTTGAATCAAAGGTCAGGTATGCCAAGTTTCAGCTCTCTATCGCCAGCGTGTTCGGAGCTATCGCGAAAAAAAACCTATGGGGGGCGGCACCCGCCCCCCCCCCCTCGGCCGGCGAGGGTTATTGCTTCTTTTGGTCAACTGAGGATAAGCTTAATTTGTTTTGAACATGATAAATGCTTACATCGACATCAGTCATCAGCTAAACCAGTTTTTAATTTGCCGTGTACCTAATGAACTGTGTAGAACGTTTAACATTCGAAGTCAACACATACATATTTGCTTCCTGAGTCCTGAACAGTGTTCAAACCCCCACACTGTTAACAAAATATTTAATGCAACAGTGTACATTGCATTTAATTGTTTTTTAGCAAAAAATTGTGTGCAAGCCAACACCCTTAGGTATATAACTAAGTTAAATATAGTCTACTTAGTCATATGTATGAAAGCTGTCAATAAATTCTCATTCATTCATCAATATATGATCATCTATCTTCATGTCATATAAAAATAAAATAATTCTAGCAATAATTGAAGACACCAGCTCCTACCGGTGCGTAAGTGCCCAACAGCCCACGCTCGGCCTGCCCGCTACTGATAAAAATGGTCCTGTAGCGGCCGGTCCCAACCAGACATGAAGCAATGTCCTTCACTTTTCCGGTTAAATTAATAGCTTCTAACCGGTTTTCATGTTGCACCACGACCTCCACTTCACTGCCACGGCCAGACGCATCTATATTTAGAATAAGTTTTCCACATACTGAGTGTAGTGCACTGCTGTAATGAAGGATTGATATTGAATCCTTTGGCGTAATCTTTGCTATGTGATCGAAGAAAGAGAACGGGAGAGAGAGAAAGAATGAAAAAAGAGGAAAAGAGGTAGAGGAACAATAATACGAGAGAGAGAGAGAGAGAGAGAGAGAGAGAGAGAGAGAGAGAGAGAGAGAGAGAGAGAGAGAGAGAGAGAGAGAGAGAGAGAGAGAGAGAGGGAGAGAGAGAGAGAGAGAGAGAGAGAGAGAGAGAGAGAGAGAGAGAGAGAGAGAGAGAGAGAGAGAGAGAGAGAGAGAGAGAGAGAGAGAGAGAGAGAGAGAGAGAGAGAGAGAGAGAGAGAGAGAGAGAGGAAGCAAGAACGAGTAAGATACAGCGATTGGGCTCTGGGGTGATAAGACTATAGATCTTCAAGAAATCATCTTGACTAGGCACTGAGCACTGGACGGCCTTCACTACGATGTTTGCAAACACCAGCGTTTCGACGCCACACTTCCACTGAGTCTGAAAGATCATTGTACAGGAAGACGTCAGCCAAATGACCTTCGTGGTTGCATTCCTGCGTCTGCAGCCGGCCAGTGTAATGGTTTTGTGCGTTACATTTCCGGCTCTTGTTATCATTGGAGAATGACGCGGGACTAGCTGCGAAAATAAACACACTGCAGAGGAGTACAACTACAGACGCTAGACGCAGACGGCACAGACACCGGTGCTTATGCGAAACACGCTTGCAACGACGATGATGTCCAAAACACAAGACATGCAAGTTGCAATGTTGAGAGTGAATAGTCGGTACTGTTCCCGACTGGCCTAGCATAACAAGGTTTGACTGTTGTTAGGTCTGGGCCGGTAGGTAGTTATGTTTCTCGCCTCGCGTTCGATTTGACACCTGACAGAGTCACAAGGAGCGGTGCCGTTATACCAACAGGTTAGCCGATCAATACCAAATCGCCAAGTCGCAGCACTTGTTCAGCCGGGCAAATAGGTTTTTACTGCGATCGATTTGCTGTGCTGCTGTGTCGCTAACTCACACCTGTGTACACTTTCCTGAGGCAGATGAGCAGACTTTGAAATGCGCCACATATCCAAGGTTAAAAAAGGGGAATGACACCTGCGGGGCTGGTCAAAAGTGCCGATCCAGTGATGTTATCAGAGCAAAGCTCAAGTATTCGTTTTGTTTTGTCGGGAGCAAGCTCTTTCGGTCTGAGGTCATTGCAGAGCATGGTATACCTAATAGGTCAGGCATTACTCAAGAAAATAGCGATTTGAATACCTGTCGTCTTCTTGCATTATATTCCATTTGCAATTCATAAGATATTTTCTGAATAACCCCAGACACTTCTCTCCTGTTTCAGAGTCCGTCACCATGCTGGACGTCGACGCTACGTTTGTGGAGATCAACGGCTGGGGCCGGTACCAGAAGCTGATGTACCTGCTGCTCTGCCTACCAACCAGCATCGCAGGGGCGGCCGTCATCAGCCTATCATGGACCGGCTTCAACATGAAGTACAGGTTAGTAACGGGAGTCAACTTAAACTAAAAGTCAGTGAAGGACTGTCATTTTGTGCATGTGAGTGCGTATTTTTCGCGATGCTTGGTCAAAGGCCGTTAGGATGTAGTTTTGTTTATGTTGTTTGTTTTGTCCTCAGACCTCAACAATTCCGCCGTAAGCGAAATCTGAATAAAAGTTACGTTTGTGAGACACTAAACAACGCTGAGGTGTGGAGTAGCATTCGCAGCCTGTCAGCCTTGTAAGTTTCCAATTTTTTGTTGAACATCGTTGGGAAACGGGGTCTAGGACAAACAAACAATACAAACTTTGCCAAATTTTGACGCAATTACACTCATAAAAACGACCTTGTTTTATTTTGGAATACCAGTCTCAGTATCATGTCAAACATGTCACTTTCTCCAGAATCAAAAGTCACGCACACATCTCTCAACAGTTGATAAAATAAGCCGACCTCAACATTTTCTGCGTCACACCAAACGCACAAAGCGCGCTCGGTCTCACCTAGAACAGAGCACCTTTCAGTTTCATGGCCGAGTGAGTCGGCAGGGTATTTTGGCCCCGCGCAGTCGGTTCGTACCCTCCCGGGTACCTAATTTTGGGCCGCACGCCCGAACCACGAGAGAGGCGTGACCTTTGGCACCGAGCCAACAGCCAACAGTTTGACATTCACACACGTGGGCGCTTCGTGAGCGATAGTGGGAGGGGAGGGGAGGGGACAGCTGGGGAGAGCTTCTGAACGTGCGAGCAGGCTTAGAAACATTTCTTTTTTAAAACCGTGGAAGGCAAACGATCAATGTTTACGTGTGAACTTTATTCAATCGTGTTTTTTTTCATCATGGTGCCAAAAATGACCTTATGCTCAATAATTGCTCATGGTTCGATAGTGAGGATTGAATTAATAGTGCAAAGACAAATAAATATCACCAATATATTTCGACTTGCGTCGTCTTCGCTTTTTCACATGTATCAAAACAATGTACCTACCATTTTTCTGTTTACTCATTTTCTATTTCGTTTCAGGTGTTTGGTGCCTGCTTGCGAGAACGCCACTAGCGCCACCTATGACGCGTGGTTCCTCAACTTTACCACACCACGAGACGCTGACCCAAGTGACCCGGCTTTTCCATGGAGCGAGTGTCAAACATTCCAGCCCATGGTGCAGGGACAGTGTAACGCTGGAGCGTTTAATGAGACTGTGACTCAGGAGTGTAGTCAGTGGGTGTACGATACGTCTATCATGGAGTACACCATCGTGTCAGAGGTGAGTCGGAGGTCAGCAGGGTCACGAGGTCGGGCAGCGGGGTCATAAGGTCTGGCAGAGCAGAGGGGTCACGAGTTCAGACATCGTGGTCATGAGGTCAGGTAAATGGGCCACGATTCGCGACAGTATTGAGTTAAATGATTAAAAGGAAGGCGAAAGAGTAATTAAATTGATATAAATCGGGATCATGAGGTAATGCCAATATCAATAAATCATTGCTTTTTGGTGTTTTCATGCAAGCTGCCTAGAGCATTTACGTTTAATCCTACGCTGTCGTTCGATGAATTTCTTACGCTCCCTACGTATCTTCATTCTACGACAACTGAATGACATCGGAGAAAGGTTTATATTTGCAACACATGTTGACAATCGTTTTCATATGTTTGCTTGTTTATTTATTTGGTTATGTTGCTTAGTTGCTTAGGGCACGCCAACTGCAATGAGTATGTTGCTTCCATAATACTTTCCAGAACTTTTACCCAGCCTGACATATAACTTGGCGTATCCCCTGTGTTGCGTTATTTCAATAGCTCCATTCATTTGTTGTTCCCAGTACCAACTGAGCTGCGGGCGCGCCTGGCTCATCTCTCTGGCGAACAGTCTCTACATGGTGGGCATGTTTGTCGGATCGCTCGTACTCGGATACATCTCAGACAGGTGAGGATCTGCTGAGAATGTGCTACATTTCCTGATTTTATCAGTTATCCAATGAATCGTCGATTACATTCTGTGCTTCCTAAAACATACATTACAATTTAGGTGGCTTTTTGCTGTTTATATTACATGTTATGTACCTATTGATATAATATGTCACTTTAACTGTTTATTCAAACTTAATTGTTCGCTACATGGGATAAAGAGGCAATTATCTACATCGTTACATGACTAACTATTCTAACCTAATGACAGACACGAGGAGAATATCGAAAAGAACTTATCACAGTCTCTCACTCACGTGTGGCGAGATATTCTCTCCCGTGTGGCTGATTAGTGAAGTGTGAGGCCGTATTGTTACGCACGCGTATCTAATCACTCCACTTCAAGTCCACTAACTTCAGTGGTTATAGCGATAATTTAAGTGCGATAATTGGGGTGACGAGAGACCTTAGAGGTTGCCGGATATAATCTCGAAATGAATCTGATATCGATGATAGGTTAGGCATGCGGAATATGTAGTCTGTGATATGGTAAGCTAACGTTCCACAACAACATATGTGTGACCATTTTCTATAATCGTCTTTATGGTAAGGCATCTCGAAGCAGGGCGTTTGAAAGCGACTGATCCATCCTCATTTCTCGCATTGCTCCAGACAAATGCACTCATCACTTAGAACTATGTTCACGGTTCACACGAGCGAAGAGGTCAAGAGGATGATAATTGAGTGTTTCCACATTCAAGGAAGTCATCTTTGTGATCTTTGACCACATATAAGAGATAGAAAGCGTGGCACTGATGATAACACTAGGACTCTACCTACTCCGTTTCCAGCGGTAACGCTTTTGATAGGCACGTTTTGATTCGCGGAAAGGCAAAGGTTCAGATTTGTCTGCACTAAGATGACATTGAGTTCCCAAAATGCTCATGAAACGGCATTTTCACAAGATATTTCAACATGGGTCAACCCTATTCCGGGCGGGCTCTGAAAGGTTTGGAATCGGGCGGGGGCCTTTCCGGCTCCCCCTTCCGATCTCGAAAACCACGAATCGAAGCGACAAACGGTAAACGGCATATTATAGGTCGTTGAAAGACTAAAAAAAAAATATAAAAAAACGTGTTTGGGTCAGGGCAATATTAAGGTCACCAGAGGTCATCAGAAATAAGATGTTTTTAACAGGTATTTGCATGACCATTATTGGTCAACATCAAAATTTGACCTAGGAAGGTCATGCTGGGTACCAATCAACGCGTCATGACCAGACAAACAGATTAGTACCATTTACAAGTATTTACCACCATCATATCGTGATTTATTGGCCAAAAACTATTGATGACGTCACATGACCTTAGATGACCCTTCCCGGTGCCCCTGTCAGTAAATGGCACCTGGATCATTACAAATCAGATAATCTGTCACAATCCTGAAAGAATTGGGCAGTTTTGACTCGTTTACTCGAAGCAGGACACATTTCAATATTTCCCCATAGGCTTGAAATGTAAATATCACGACTCTGACCTGACCTCAGGTCAGATATAAAAATCATGAGATAAAAAATTGCACATACTGGTACTTCAATGAAGACCTGATGAGAGGAAATAGCTCCGTAAAAAAGCTCTAGCTCTGACGTAATTGCAAACTTTTCTGAGATTGGATCAACAAATCCGCTCTGGTGACCTGAACTGACCTGACCCGGCAATTTTTTTTTTGCTGGAATGTGCGCAATGAATATCTAGGAAAAGTCCCCAAGTATGAGCTGAATATCTTGCGGTGTTTGGCAGTGGCTAAAGAAAAGCCTGAAGGGGGGGGGGCGAAAAGGTCCCCCTCCCGCCCGGAATAGGATTAACTTGTTGAATCAAATGTGATTATTGGTCTTGTGTCATGATACTGTGTTTTCAATAGGTATGCAATAAAGTGTGATTTAGAAAAAGTTGTTGAATCAAACGATCGCGGGGCATCCTTAGAGCAAATAAAGTGGCTAATTCTAGTTTACGAAAATTAAATAACCTCTCAGGTGTTACGTATACTGCGAAAAGGTAGGAGTCGTTACGTCCTTTCGGTAGCTCCATCGAAACGAGTATTTCCGAGTACTTATCTGCTGATCGCTTGTTCGATCATGTCCCAACCCAGGACCATATCTCGTATGTTCGTTACTATCTGGAGATCACTGATGATTATGCAGACTCGGCACATTTGGCCTTCTTATTTTAGCATTGCTTGAGGCGTGCTGACACATGCGCACGGATCCCTCTTTCATCTCCCTCACATAAATATACATTTTCTGGTGCTGGCGTTTATATATTATGCTAGATAATACACTTGATACAGCCTATAAACATTAATTCGTGTTTAGACATCAATTACGGACGGGAATATTATGTTTTCGCTGATATGCTCCGGAGGTGTATGTCAAGAGTATCGCAATTAACACTTGTCTATGATGCAATGGAAGAGTAATGACCTATGGTAAGTTATCGTAATTGTGCAATCCCAAAATAAATGGTCCGCGACTTTACCACATCCGCTAGCTAGGACGAAACATTCTTGCGATTTTCGGCACGGTTAAGGTACGTATCCATTTACGAATATAACGAATATAACCAGTAAAACGCCTTTTGGGCGAAGAACGAGCGAGCGAGATAGTGAGCCCTTCACGTGCGGAAGGGCGAGAGGGTACTTCCAACGGACTTGTGCAAAGCACCCTTCTAACCTGTCGCTAGCGGTGTGCCAAATTTGAACGGAATCGGCCCAGCCGTTCTTGAGATCTGGAAGCGGCATTCTGCACGTGCGCGCGTGCAAACGGGGTCCAAAATGACTTTTGCACGGCACCCTACTAACCGGTCCCCAACCGTGTACCAAATTTGAGCGCAATCGGCCCAGCCGTTCTCAAGATCTGGAAACGCCCCCTGCACGTGCGCACGTGCAGTAGCACCCTAACCGCAACACATGGAAATGCATTGCCTGGTGGGTGCTTACCTGTATGCTAAGTTTCAGCGAAATCGCCCCAGTAATTACCGAGTTACTGAAATGGGAACAAATTTGGCACATCTTCTTTTTTATTTTGCACGTGCAGTGGGGGGTCACTCACATAGATCAAGAGTATCCGACCTTTGGTAGAAGGAATGCAGCTAGTAGCTACCCTATAAAAATTACCGCAAGACAATCGCTCAAGTCGCTGCTGAGATATGGGCCTCTCAAAATCATTATTTTTGCAAAACTGCTTGAACACCCTTGACTTTTCACGTGGCACGTGCCACGACGGTCACTGAGATGTATCAAAAGTAGTCAATTACGGGGTAGAAGGGATGGGGCTCCGGCTACCCAGCAAAAAAGACCGCAGGCCAATCGGTCCAGCGGTTGCTGAGATATAAGCCTTTCAAAAGCGTTACAGGCCGGGCCGGGCCGGGCCGCTCATACCTACTGAGATTTTTCCGTTATATTGAAAAGACTTCGCTTCGCTCGCTGCGCTCACTCGCTCGTAATAACACCTACCTACGTCTAACCTCGATAATACTAATAGACATATCAAACAAATCGAAATAAAAAATGCAGTATCTGGAATGTTTTCCGACTACATGTCATCTCCATTATTCCTATGTATACTGTCTACATGTAACTAACATGTCCTTTAAAACCAATAAGGTTTGCAATGTTGTTTCCGTCAACATCCCCATCATCACGAAGTACGAAGTGATTTCGTTCTTCTTCATCAGGTTCGGCCGAAAGGTGGCCATGCTGCTCTCGTTCTTCACGGTGGGAGTGGTTGGCACCACGATGGCGTTTGTTCCCAGTTTCGCTCTCTACGCACCCCTGCGCTTCCTCATTGGCGTGGGAGGCATGGGCATCTTCATGACCTGCTTCTTGCTGGGTAAGATCGTGTGTGAGACGCGCCGGCTAGTGAAGCGCGGTACCAACTGTTAAAAGTCGAAATTTTATTGATTGATCGGATTGAAATCAAAATCGTGTTGATCAAGAATGTCCTATTCTTTCTTCACAGGCTAGAACCAATGTTGTATCTTGCAGTTTGATGGGTACAAAGTCGAGCAAAATTTAACATCTCTATTTTTCTCAGCAAAAAAAGAACTTGCCATAAGGCGCACTACCGTTCAAGGATTGTTTCAAACGACGCGCTCACGCTGACCGAGCGGAACATCCCTGGCTTTCGTCTGACCGCGCATGAAGAATGAATATTTTCTTCCTCCGACAGGCGTCGAGACCGTCTCTAACGACGTGCGCACTCTTTGCGGCATGATCATCCACTTCTTCTTCCCGTTCGGTGAGGCCATGGTGGCCGTGTTCGCCATCTTCGTCAAGGACTGGCACAGTCTGCAGCTCATCATATCGGTGCCGGCCTTCATATTCATGTCGTATTACTTGTGAGTACTCAGTAGTCAGTAGGCACCTACTCGGTACTTCGTTCTCAGTGAAGTGCTTTCAAGCGAAAGCCGTTCGCGGTGACGTTGATGGAAGCTGCCTACGTTTCACCTTGGATGACAGGGTGCTAAGCACTTATCCCAAATCGGGTGCCTCATTTCGAGGATTCAGCAGTGATGGCAACCGTAATTTACACTGGCACCGCGTGACATTACACGAACAGCCAGTTGCAACGCTTGTTATTGCCTTGGGCTAGAGGTAGCAGCGTATTGACTCTGTAATGACCGATTAAATGCAGATCTACGTGAAAACATATCTTCAATATTTCAAAATGATAAACACGCATCTCATCTTTTTCACTTTACTCTTCCTAGCTTTGTTCCCGAGTCGCCTCGGTGGCTTGCGGCGGAGGGAAAATTTGAGCAGGCGGAGAGAAACCTTCGCACAGCTGCCAGATTCAACGGAGTCCAGTTTCCAGATCATCTTTTGAAGAAGCAGTCACTGGTAAGAAACGTGACAAATGTCCACGCAGTCTAACTCGAATCGGTCATGGGGCGGATATTGTTTGTCAATTTTGATTATCAATACGCACAATGCGCACTGTACCTACATACATAACTAACTAAAGGCACGAGTGGGTAATGGGTATGCCTTATCCATTTGCAGGGTAGGTACCTACCTAATTTGCAGTTATAATTTGCATATACAGTTATAACCTATAATTGCATAATTTGCAGCAATTTGCAATTATACGACAAAACTGCCGAGTTTCTCGAAGTTCACGTACAACTTAATTAAACGATCTCTTTCAATCCGTCTGCCATGCGATGCAATTTTAGGGATGCTGCGCAATGCGCATCCGTTGCAACATACGGATTACGGATGATTACTGATCACACCACTTGTTGGCTGCTTGAATTCGATGTTCTTCACTACACATAGGTACTGGCAGATAAATACCTACGCATCGCCAGACTCCGGTCCACAGACCAAAATTGAGTGACGAGTCCTCATCAACGTGTTTAGGCCGATTCCATTTGACGAAGCACTTGAGCTTCGCCACTGAGCATTGCGTTGTGCACAACAAAGACTCCTATGTGAGCTACAGTGCGTCGGACTGTAAGTTTATTGAGACGATGAAGAAACGACGCAAGCCCGACGTCCTTGATCACACAATAGCACATTGTGCCTTTTGATGTTCGAAGCATGTTCGGGACTCATAAGGAAAATGTCGCTGATAACACGAACGGAGTTTCATCAGTCTGAGCTAGCAACAGTTGTCAGTTGCTGCTGTTGCAATCACCGGAGTTCTGATCATGGGGTGCTCATCTTGTCAGGATGACTACAAGGTCTGCCTTAACCGGTCAAATTTACCTGCAACAGCGAACTTGGGACCATACGTATGACTTTTGTGGGAAGTGCATTTGCAATGCCTTTGCATTATCACTTCGTGCTAAAATGCCCGCTTAAAAATATGAAACTACCAGTTACAACCACTGATCTTAGCTGCATCTATCAATAACCGTCAGAAACACCTTCTCCATCTATTTGAGACAAAGATAGCACCCTGCAGCTGTGCAATGTGCATGCTTATTACGCATCATCCCCTTTTCCTGTGTCTGTCCGCAGAAAACGTCCAACTCAGAGACGCCTATTCTGCTGGACGATCCGCCTCAGATGTCCGTATTGGATCTGTTCAGAACGCCGGCGCTGCGGTGGCGCACACTCATCATTCTCTATCAATGGTAATGTTGTATGTATGTAACGTATGTATGTATGCATATATGTATGTGTATGTATGTATGTATGTATGCATGCATGTATGTATGTGTGTGTGTTTACACACGACTTTGTAACTATTTAACGATCATGAGCGATCTACATATCGCATGGGTTTGGTTATGACAATATTCACTGACTGAAAGTTTATTGAGTCGATGAACAAACGACGCCTAAAACCTGAAACACTCCATAATCCATTTATCGTTCTCTAATAGTGTTAAAAAGAGTTGACTTAGACAATATTCGCTGAACGAACAAATCGTCATAAGCTTTATCGGAAATTTAATAGAGTTTCATCAGTAAATGAGCTAATGAGCGTAAATCAAAACCAGCCAGAAGCCGAAAGTTTTTAGCGGAGATGTGATAGGGAGGTACTCTAATTTATTTATGTGTGTTTGGTGGCACGTTGATGTGAACAGTAAAACGTTGGGATGCCCCGTTCCTCTTGGCCTTTGAACCCAGTAAGGTTTTAAACATAACAAACCTAAAATCAAGGAGTGGGTATAAATAAGTCCCGGGACATTATTAGGTGCCAGCTTCACAGACCATCAGGTGGCTACCAGAATGTATAGGTAATGGTTTATCGGACAGTTTGCATCGCCATCTTAGATAAATATCACAGAGTGTAAGTCAATGATTGATTTTCAACAGCTTGTCACCAGACCACGATAATTACAAATAAAGCTGTGAGATTAATAGTGCGAAGACATACGGCAAATGTTAATGGGTATAATGTTGAGGTTGTCTGCGCTCCAGTGCAAGCTGGTTTATACCAGCTAGATGCGCTGGAAACTAGTTTATTGGTACTGGAAACGATGATAAATTGTTCTAACCTTCTGAAGAATACAGAATTAATATACACTGGGAACGCTGGGAATCATCGAAATTAGCACTCATGAAAAGCAACCTACACCAAAATCGGCACATTTTGTAGGCTAGGCATGCCAATGCCATCTTGTTTTGAGTAACCATTCATGAACCATCAAATGGTTCCAGTTTAGTACCTAACTTATCGAATATGTACATCACGATTTTTCCCCGCTATCGAAGGTTCGTCACTGCCATGGTCTACTACGGCTTGGGCATGAACGCTACCCAGCTGGGAAGCAGCGTCTACGTCAACTTCATCCTGGTGCAGCTGATCGAGATCCCAGCGGCCATCTCCTGTATATTCGTGCTCGATCCGTGGGGCCGCAAGCTGAGCCTGGCGTTGTTCTTCGCGCTGAGCGGGATTGGAAGTATCGTCAGCGGGGTGTGCTCCAGCGGAAGATCTGGTGAGTGGGAAAGGTCAAGTCCGAGTGAGGAGTGTCGAGTGAGTGAGGAGTGCCTGGTGAGTTGTTTGGGATGTCGAGTAAGTGGCGAATGTCGAATGGGTGAGGAATGTCGAGTGACTTTGAAATGTCAAGTGAGTTAACCCGCGCCCGGCTGGGGGTCCTGGATTTCCACGCCCTGCTGGGGGGGGGGGGGTGTTAGAACACCCCCCTTCTAACTCGGCTCCTGGGCCACGTAGCGATACGCGGAAGGCGGCGTTCGAAAGAGCGTCAAAAATAATGAGGAAAACACTTCGGTCAATTTTTTGGTCAGGTCAAAGGTCAGGTCACCAGAGGTCATTGAAGGCAAAATTTCGCCGATTTCCAGGTCGAATGTCGACAATTTCCAAGAAGCCAACGCATAACTCGGGAACCAATAAAGCTGCAGCGCCGCGGAAAAGCGCATTCGATAGCCCTATTAACGCCCTTTCTGAGTATTTTCTCAGATTTGACCTAACGTCAACGGTTTTGCCTGCAGGGGGCAAAAACTGCAAAAATAGCCGATTTTTTCGGAAACAGTTTTTCTGCAATAACTTTTGACCCAAGCCTTGTACGAGCTTACTTTTACCGGCATCGTGTTCCTCTCTTCAAGACGCATCGAATGAACTATAACTTGACCTTGAAAGGTCAACTTGAAAATTTGACCTCAGGTCAAGGTCATGACCTGACCGGAAAGGGTCATGTTGCATATCAGTCGATCCGTATCGTCGAGCTGAACACAGCTAAGGCGTTTTCATCGCTCTAGCATGCCTCTATCGAAAGTTATTTGCGAAAAACTGTTAGATACCATTCGTGACCTAAGATGACCTCAGGGCATAAACAGGGGTCACGGACACCATTTTCATGTTGAGTGTGTCTAAACCACTTGTAATTCAGTGTTTGGGAGTGTTTATAATGTCTTTCGTCCAAAAGAGGCGCATTTCAATTTTCTCCCATTGACTTATAATGGGGAGGTCGCAAAATTGACCTGACCTTAGGTCATCGATATCAAAATTCTGAGATATACATTTTGTACATGCTATTGCTCTTAGCAATCGCTGAAAGTTTCAAAGCGATCGGTCACTCGGTGTAGCTATGACAGACATTAAAACTTTTTATGAGGTGAGGTCACTTCAAGTGACCTGGTGACCTGACCTTAGATGACCTTGGTCTGAAATTTTCAAAACATGTGTAGAATTGATGTATGATAAGGTATACCAAAAACGGCGGCGCTCCGCGCCGCCGTTTTTGAAATATTCGCGAAAAACCACAAGGGGGGATGTTCAAACACCCCCCCAGCAGGGCGCGGGTTAAGAATGTTGAGTGAGTGGGGAAGGTCGGGTCCGAGTGAGGGTTCGAGTGAGTGAGGAGTGTCCGAGGAGTGGGATATCCCGTTCCCCTTGCCCCATGTTCATAACAAATATCCGGTGAGGGGAGGTAGGGCATGAAGGAACCGTCGGAGCAGGTTCGGTAAGATAGGTCCAGGGAGACATACGGCTCTAGTGAGCTGTGAGTGAGGCAGACGAAGGCCAGATGAGGGAAGCAGGTCCAGTGAGCGATCTAGATCACATGAGTCAGGAATGTCGTATAAGTGAAGCACGTCCGTGATAAAACTCGATGAGTGGGGCAGCTCCAGAGAGGCAGGCCAGGTGGGAGTCCGGTGAGGCAGGTTCAATGAGGCAGGTCCAGTGAGGCATCAGACAGGTCCGGTGAGGTAGGTCCGGAATTCGTGAAGGTCTGGTGAGGCAGGTCCGGTACGAGGCGTGCTAATTGTAAGTGCGTGCCTCTTGTCATATCCCTTCACTTCGAACTTTCATCCCACATTGCCCATGCCTTCGATGGCAGGTTTCCTGTAAGTCGTGACGCCCAAGTTACAATGTCCTAGTCGAGCTCTCAGGTACCTATACTGATATGGGAATCCTTCAAATGCTGATTCAGCGCAGATCAGCGAAAACGGACCAGCCAACAGCTCCAACCGGTAAAATCCGGTTATAACCGTTCAGGCTCGATCTCAATAGGTCGGTTTGGACCCGTGTAGGAAACTTTCAAAGTCCTTTGGTCTGTAGCGATATACATGCATTTATCCAAGAATGAGTAGTGAAAGTCTTGGTGTATGATTTTATGCTACTAATGAGCTCCGACTACTGAAATGCCCTACGTTCGTATTTCATAGCGTGAAAGGTCAAACAACTTCCCCGAATCATCACAAGTGAAGGAAACATACCAACAACATATAAAACGTCTTCTGTCTTCTTCCAGCCGCCATGGAGACAATCACAGTCGCAATGGCCGTGCTCGGCAAATACGGCTCATCGGCGACATTCGCCATCGTCTTCGTCTACGGTGCCGAGTTGTTCCCTACTGATCTGAGGAACAGCGGCATCGGGATGTCGTCAGCGGCCGGCAGAGTCGGATCCATCATTGCACCCTTCATCATTAGCCTGGTATGTATGTTGGGGGCGTTATTGGTGGTGAGAGTGGCGTCATGTAAGGTCATTATTCCCGGTTGTGTCTCGAGAGGATAGTAGACCTCTGACGTTCTTGGTTCAAGGTTCAACTAAATTTGGATCCAGGCTACCATCAAATAAATTTTATGGAGTTGTTGAACACTGATTAGTATCACTTACAATGTTCCATGTTACTTGTTAGGCTTTTCGCCATAGCTTTCGGAGCCCAGTGGTGCTCTCATGTTTCGAAGAGAGCACAATGGAAGTAAAACGCGCGTTTTTACACTATCAATCTGTCTCGACAGGGAGGTTCAAGCCAGGTGCTCCCGATGACCATATTTGGCGTGCTGTCGCTCATTGGGGCATTCATCACCGTGTTCCTACCAGAAACCTACGGAGAGAACCTTCCAGACACCATCGAGGAGACCGAGAGCTTCGGGAAGTGAGTGGCTGTCAGAAACGATCGACGGTGTGCAATGATGTGGGTGTCTAGTGCCATCTGGTAACGCCAGAGGAACTATTAGTACGTAAGGACACAGGTGGCGGTGCCATCGCTGCCAGCCCGCCCATAAGTGTTTGGTGGAACTGGGATCCGTATACCTCCCATACCACTCATCTATACTCATTTACCTCCCTTTCCCATGTATGCCTGATGGTCATAGGTACGTAATGAATGTGAAACGAATAAGATTTGTCAGTGAAATTCCAAATAAGTGGGTGCCTAATGCCTCATAAAACCAGAACAGATGCTTACTTTCTTGATAACAGTCATCACTTGTTCCCTTTCACCAACAGCTTTGCGTGATGCCTGGAATTGCGTCAAGGAATAACCCTGCCGATGCCAGTAGCAGTAAACAGCCTCTACAACATATCACGTTTCCCCCGACAAGTTTCCACCCACCGCTGACCGTCACTAACTCGCTGTGTGCCTTCCACAGGGACCAATCACTGTGCTTCATTCCGTGCCTGAACCGCCGCCGAGCCCGCAAGATAGAGCCCTCGCCGCGGTCAGCAAGTCTGACATGAAGAATCGACTCTCTTCAGTTCGCTGTCGACAGTTGATGCGCCAGGGGCAGCGATTTGATTGGTTGGAAGTTTCTCTTTGGATTGCCATGGAGACTGAAGGCATGTGTTTGTGTGATTTGTGAATGTCTGAACGATACTCTATTGTGACTTTTGTATGGCCTGCACTGCAGACGTGCATACTGCAAATGTCTGCTTGCAATGTAAGGCGACATAGTGGTCGGTTGCGTCAAGATGAGGTATTTTGTGTGCAGGAATTGAAAGTTGGCGAAACTTTGTAGGCTTTTCACCACCGAGTGCCTTATTACACTGGCTTGAGCTCTGCAACGGGCGTGGTGCCATCGTAACGTTCTCTTCTTATGTAGTTCGCTTTATCCGTGAGCAACATTCGTTCCTACTGACGGCAAGTGCTAACAGAATGGTGCTGCTCAGTGGGCATTCGCGTTGCATTTGGACAAATGGAAATTCGGAAAAGGTTTCTTACGCTGCCCTGTATGCTATAAGGGTTTCTTTGTGAACTGACTGAACCTAATTGAGGCATGCTGAATGATGTCAATTGGAAACGCGCTGTGAAGTATTGCCATCATGGGGTAAGATGGGTGTTGCAAGAAGGCCGTATTGTCATCTTAGATGTTATTTACTCGCTGTTAGTTCTCCCATTTTGTCATGGGGGATGCCTCGGGCGTAAATGACCTAGTGTGGTTGACGCGCCCGCAACTCTAAGTAACTAACATGGGTGATAGTTGTAGCCTCCCATCAGGTTGTTATCTTATCCAACTGCTTTATGGTTTCTTGTACTACTGAATGAGCGCCGCGGTGCACCCTTTACACGATGGAAATATCCCTGCATGAATGAATTATGTACACTAACTACTTCACGAAGTAATCATGACTATCAATGACTTGAAGTGTGAATCTGAAACCACTTCAACTGACATAATCCATGACTTACAAGTGTGGGCTCTAAGAGCTCACGTCAATCGGTCAATGGTTCAACTAACAATAAGCTTGTGTAGTGTGTAGCATAATCATGTTTAATCGAACTTAGAAGCTCGTTATTAATCGCCCAGCCAACAATTATCCTGTGCAGCATAACTGTTCATAGATAAATACCAAACATGTTCGTAGGCAATAACCAATCATCTTAATTAGGGGAGAGTGGGGCAAAGCGGCCACCCTAACGCTTCTCACGATGCAAACGCTTGATTTTTAAACTTGGAAATATTCTTTCTATAGGTACCAATGTGATCCCTATCAAGTTGCCTTTAATTTCAACTGCGTTTTATTTCCAAAGGCGTTCACATATGAAAGATATTGACAAAACTTTAAACCTATGCATATTGGCCACTTTGCCCCATACCCTGGGGCAAAGCGGCCACCGGCGTCTTCTCAAGTCCCGATATGAGAAACAAAATAGTTGCCTCGTGTACGACTAGGGTATTTGATGGTGACAAGGTTAAGCGAGGATGGATGTTTACTTTATCATCTTCCACCTGTAGGTAAACAAAGAAAGGATTTTCATGAAAAAACATTTAATTGCATTATTTGGTAACTCGTGCAACTGACAAGTGGCCAAGATGAATGCATGACGACACATTTGAATAAAAATAATGTTTTTTATCCAGATGGAAACAACTTATGGCCAATTGGGGGGTGGCCACTTTGCCCCGGCCACTTTGCCCCGCGCATACCGTCCGAGACAAAAGTATTCCAGCTTAGCTATTAGTGGGGTAAAAAACATTAAAATTGGTAGAATACATGTACGATAACCAAGCAATGCATGGACAAGAACGCCTATAAAAATTCCAAACGGTTATGGAATAACATAACATTTAAAAATTGTAAACATAGTTGGTAACCTGGCAAGAAATGCTTTTCCGTGTTTCATAGAACACTGGTGATGGGCCTGAAACCCCGGTGTGGCTTATTCGAACGACCGTGAAGAGAAGTATAATTGGAAACCATTAATTGGAACTGACGCCAGCTATGAAGGGCTAAAACGATGGGTGGCCGCTTTGCCCCGGGTGGCCGCTTTGCCCCACTCTCCCCTACTCAGTGGAAAGGCCACTAAAGCCCAGAACATATAGCTGCTGGCGCTGCCTGTTACCCACTACCCTCGTCACCTAGCAAAACAAGCTGTTTCATTGAGCCTCGAGAAACATCCACTTTGGGAAAATAAAGGGTCTGCTATTTTGGAATGATAGGCCATTGTCACGCAGCAATTATCAGTGCGGCATTCTTGTTGAATAGGCACATTGTTTTCGCTCAGTGAATCATTTCTATCTGCAAGTGACATGAGTGCTGTGGCATTAACTGTCGGTTGGGATGTCAAAGCATAGCTGATGAAACTTGGAAAATAGTAACTTGTATTCCCACTTGTCCTGAATATCGGCGATGCACGAATCATGTTTTGAAACGATGTTGGAACCAACTTTGCACGGGTAGATATGTAGACGATATACCGTTTCTATATTGCAATGTTGTTTCGTATGACGGGCAAGCATGGCATGAGAATAAAATATCGCGATTTTCAAATGCACCTTGTTTTGATGGCACATCGGGAAAACCTCAAATGGTTGAAAAACTTCGTGTCGGAAAATAACCTGATGTGCGTTTAAACCATGTAATTAACTGTAAAACTAGTATGCTGCTAAACCCTACAAGAGAAAGACAAGTTGCGAGTAAGCCTTTCCTCTCGCACAAATCCCCCGCCCAAATAGTACCCTTAACAGGCGGATGACAGAGAAGAGGGTGTATTATCCAGCTAGGAGCAGCACATCACAACTTGGACCATACAGCAGGACAGCGGAGCTCACAAATCGGACTACAATGGTGACGGGCGGACCCAGCCTGCCCAGCGGCGATAAATCGCATATTTCTGCAAAACTGATCCCATAATGAAAACAAAGCGTAACAAATCATTGTGGCTTACTACCGAGAAAATAGGGAATCGATACCCCAATTTTTCGGCGCACCTTTTAAAAAAACGTAGTCCAAGAAATTATACGAAACTCCAAAGTCGATAAACAATATTCGCACAGCGCCGTTTGGTACGAATAACATACGCAATTGAGTCAACTTTCAATCCCGCAAGCAATACATACGACAAGAGCGAGAGAGAAATAACATCCATCAAATAAAGTTACGAATTTTGTATTATGACAAATAACAGGAAAAGTTTTGATATCACTTGTTGGACTAGTTATAGGCCTTTCATTGAAATGTCGCAACTTCAATCACTAGCAACGCATTACACGTCCGAAATCAAATGCACAGGATTGCTTGTTTACACTGCAACACCAATGCCCCTCCCCCCCCCCCCCAAGAAACATGGGATAGAATATTCTACGAATTCGGGGTAGCACGCCTGTGCAAGATTTTTTTGTCCGACAATGCGAGGCCACGGCGAACCATCCAGACATCGAAGTTCGCCACTACATCAAAAATAATAAACCTGTGGCCGTGCGAGCGCTTTGGTTGCGCGTCAACACTGGCGTCTAGCACTAGGGTGGGCCCTAGGCGACTGTGCATAATGGCGGTGGGTGTCGAGGGGGTGCGGGGATGGCGGGGCCTGTCCGAAAGATGGATTGGGCGAGCGCGGGGAAAAATTATCTCCATCAATCGAAGAAGCACTGGTCTCATATTACTCTGGCCTTCCATCAACAGAGTGATATTCATGATGAAACTCCCACAAGGACGAATTTCAATGAGGCTATCACCAAGCAGACTTCATGCATCACCCTCTTTCACTAACCTTCACGAATCTCACACCCACTATCGTCCTAACCTGGTAACCCCACCAACGCCCACACCCACCAGACACCTACGCACCTGCGCCAATCCTCGTGACCTCTAGGCGTAGATCACGCGCATGGTATTGGTGAAGCCCGACCCCGACTGCCATCCAGTGATGATGACGACCGGGTCTCCAGTGTTGATGAAGCGCTGTCCCTTTCCGTAGCCGATGGCAGACTGGACGCGAGCCTCGACGTCCTGTAGCCAGTCAGGCACACGCTCCGGGGTGTGGATCAACGGGAAGATACCGCGGTACAGGTGGCACTGGCGAGCCACCTGAGGGAAACGCGTCACCGCCACGATCGGGCAGCGCGGGCGGTACCTGCCGGGGAGAGGAAGGGTGTTAGCTGAGCTGGTAGTTTGAATGTTTTGGACTCGTTTTCGAACGTCGATACGAAACGAACTTTGTACGTGAAATACAAATGAGAGGTCAAATTTAAATGAGGTTGTAAGATCTTAATAAAATCATTGATCTGATGAAACATTCAATAGATTGACGCAACTGTTAACCTGATTGAACTGGACAAAATTGAATAATATTACATCAGCCAATGCCAAGTTGTTTAACACCCACACTTAACACAGTAAATACATTTAATCTTGTCAGTAAGTGAAGAAGTGAGTGAAGGCGACTGAAAAAAGATAACGCCTACAAATGAAAGCACAACCACTCACTGGGAGTGATAGTCCACCCTGATCCCCAGAGCCCGCCTTGTTTATGGAGCTTTTCTCACATACTCACTTTGAGAGCAGGTGGGCCGTCTTTCCAGACGTGGTCAGCACAATGATGGCAGCCGCGTGCAGTTTGATGGCCGCCCCGACGGCCGCCAGCGACACGGAGTGCGTGTGGTCCGCCTTGCCCACCAGCCTCGCCTGGTCGTCGTAGAAGCTCTGGTGCCAGACAGCAGCCTCCGCCTCCCGGCAGACGCGGTCCATCATGGAGACGCACTGCATCGGGTAGTCTCCCTTTGCCGTCTCACCGCTGAGCATGACACAGTCAGAGCCATCCAGAACTGCGTTGGCGACGTCAGAAACCTCAGCGCGGGTCGGGCGGGGCTTCTTCACCATGGACTCCAGCATCTGGGTGGCGCAGATGACCGGCTTGCCGGCCATGTTGCAGCGAGAGATAAGCGCCTTCTGGGCGACGAACACCTTCTCAGCGGGGATCTCAATACCCATGTCACCACGGGCAACCATGACACCGTCGGACTCGGCAATGATCTCGTCCATGTTGACGATGCCCTGGTGGTTCTCAATCTTGGAAATGATGAGGATCTTCTTTCCCTTTTCGCCGAGGACCTTGCGGATCTCACGCACGCCGGCTGCGTCACGGATGAACGAGGCGAAGACCATGTCGACGCCCTGCTCGACTCCGAGGAGCAGATCACCACGGTCCTTCTCAGAGACGGCCGGCAGGTCGACCGGCGTACCGGGCAGGTTGACGCCCTTCTTGGAGCCCAGCATGCCGCCGTTCTCGATCTCGCACATGACGAAGTCAGGTCCGATGTCACGCGCGATCAGGGAGATGAGGCCGTCGTCGACGTACACCCTGCTACCCAGCTTCAGCACTTTCGTAATGTTGACGTAGTCAACAAACAGCACCTCCTTGCTACACTTCTCATAGAATGACTGGTCAGTGGTCAGCTTGATCTTCTCCCCAGTCACGAGCTCCACCTCAGCCGAGGCGCCTCCCTCCAGCAGACCCGTGCGGATCTCGGGTCCCTTGGTATCCAGAGCAATGCCGACGACCGCAGGGCGTCCCGTCTTCTGGCTAAGGACTTCGGCAGCCTTCCGCACGTTGCCCATCGTCTCGGCATGGTATTCGTGAGTGCCGTGGGAGAAGTTCATGCGAGCGATGTTCATGCCAGTCTCCATCAGCTCGACCAGCTTCTCGACGGAGCGGGTGACGGGTCCGATGGTGCAGACGATGCCAGTCTTGCGGATGCTCTGCGGCGCCAGGTCCACATCGAGAGAGGCCGTGTGCTCCAGGAGCGTATTGGCCGACTCGACGGGCTTGATGTTAGACATGGTGGTAACCGATATTCAGTCTGCAACACAGTGCAAAGTTTGGGAAATAGTCAAATGTCCATCTGCATCATGCAGGGTGATATAGGGTATGATATACCAGAAGTCCTCAACATAACTAGGCCCAAGTTTGCACTTGTTGGAAAAATAACATAATAATGATATCTTCACCACTTGCATGCTTTGCATCCACATTGTAAATGCATGGTAAGCATGGCCCATATGGCCACATCCCAAAGATGCTACAGAGATTGCAGTAGACACAGAATTTGCAAAAAAAAATTAAGTGGGTAGGTACACTAGAACACTGCATCCTAACTTACACCACA